GAGCCGGAGGCTAAAAAACTGTGAGCTGGCTCACACTAACGCAGCCTGGAGGGAACACTGACACGCATGTATTTGCAGCTCATGTCGTAATACCTTGTATTTACATAGCTCTCAAAGTGCTCTGCATACATGACGTCGGTGATCCGTACCACAGCCCTGTTAGGTAGGACTTGACACCCACCCCTCTTTTCAGGGTGGGGCTAAGCGAACAGCTGCTCGCCCAAGACAATCTGACAAGCCCAGGCTTGTGTGGAGATTAGATCTGGAGGCTTCCAGGCCTACGGTTTGACCTCTTCGCTGACAGGCAATAGCTGTAGATTCTTCTGCTGTTAGCATCACCGGGGTTCGGGGTGGTGGCGCTAGACTAATATTTCCTTGCATCATAATTTGTTGTAAGATTAATCTCCAGTAGGAAGATCAGTGTGATCTACCTGACAGCAAACTGACAGCTACCTGTCAGCAGGTGGTGAGATAAGCCTGGTTGTGATTGGTTATAGCTGGCTCCGGTTATAGCTGGCACTGAACAGTGTGCAGTCACTTGTAGCTGATTGGTGGCACTTTGTATATAAGTAATGTACAGAAGCCATGTACGTTCTCTTCTGAGAAACCGAGCGTCTGGCGAAGCAGTTTGTTTGTATATTCTGTGAATAAAACCCTTGTACATAGTGTACCACTGGACTGTGCAGTGTGGTTACTATAAGGGACTTCACAGCAGAGACTGCAGCAAGAGCTGGTAAGGCTGGGAGGCTGGAAAGACCTTAAGCGTGCTGACTTGCTTTAAAGGCTGGTGTCTTGGACCGCTACATTCTCGCTTCCACAACATAATTTGAGTCCTAGGGGCTGTGGATTGGTGGCAGAGCATCTGCTTGGTGTGCGGAAGGTCCCAGGTTCAATCCCCAGCTTCTCCAGCTAAAAGGTCCCAGGTCATAGGTGATGTGAAAGCCTCAGAGCTAGTTTGGTGTCGTGGTTAAGAACGGTGGACTCTAATCTAGAGAGCCGTTTTTTTTAAGGTTTTATTTATCAGTTTTCCACAATATATATCAGCTTACATAGATTATCCTTATATACATTTGAGTCTGTAATTTCCATACATCATCAATCCATTTGTACAGACGCGTCCATCTTTCAGAAAATTTATCGTCTTTCCCTTGAAGCATTAATTCATCAATTTCTGCTATTTCTAACAATTTACATGCTATTTCCTCTCTTGTGGGAAGTTTTTCTTGTTTCCAATACTTAGCTAGTAAGAAAAAAAAAATACTTAGCTAGTAAGAGTCTAGCAGTCGTCAGAATATATATTAACATATACCGTATTTTTCGGACCATAAGACGCACCTGACCTTAAGACGCACCTAGTTTTTAAAGGAGGAAAACAGGGGGGAAAAAATATTCTGAACCTTCGGTCCATAAGACGCACTCACTTTTCCTCCCACTTTTTTTGGAAGAAAAAGTGCGTCTTATGGTCCAAAAAATACGGTAATTATCATTCTGCTTCTAGCACTCCGGAATTATATTTAACAAGGCTATTTCAGGAGACAAAACTGTTTTAATGCTCATTATTTCTAATATTATCTTCTGTACCATCTTCCAGTATAAATACTGAGAACCGGGTTTGATTCTCCACTCCACATGCAGCTGCTGGTGTGACCTTGGGTCAGTCACAAGTTCTCTCAGAGCTGTTCTCTCAAGAGCAGCTTCTGTCAGAGCTCTCTCAGCCCCACCTACCTCATGGGTTGTCTGTTGCGGGGAAAGGAAGGGAAGGGGATTGTAAGCCGCTCTGAGACTCCCGAGTGAAGGGCGGGGCATAGATCCAACTCTTCTTCCTCTTCGTCTGAGACTCAGTCTGGAGAGCTGCTGCCAGTCCGAGTAGACAATACTGACTTCAGTGGAGCAAGGTCTGATTAAGCACAGGACAGCTTCATATGATATCTTCACCTTTATCATTACTGGTGCTGTTCAATTGAACATCTGGTCACTCATTTGGATGTGGACTCCACCCTTAATACATTTTGCATGTCATTATCATCTTGCACTAAGGGCCATTCTCAAAGGCGTAGACTTCCATCTGTAGTTTGATGGTATCTTTGAACTCAGTGAATTTCTTCCAAGGTCTTAACTCCCAGGACACCAGTGGAAGACGTTTGATTCCAGTGGTCTCAGTGGCACAGAACTGAAAAGTATTGGCTGTTCTTACCCTTGCTTTTGGAGCTGCGGTGGCTCAAGTGGTTAAGGCGCTGAACTGCAGGCTGTGGAAGGTCAGTAGTTCAGCAGCTCGAGACCCGGGTGCCGCAAGACGGAGAGAGCTCCCGTCTCTAGTTCCAGCTCCTGCCAACCTAGCAGTTCGAAAGCAAGAAATTGCAAGTGGATAAATAGGTACCACATCGGTGGGAAGGTAACAGCGTTCCGTGCGCCTTGGTGTTTAGTCGTGCCGGCCACATGACCATGGAAACGTCTTTGGACAGCGCTGGCTCTTCGGCTTTGAAACAGAGATGAGCACTGGCTTTCGAGCAAGGGAACCTTTACCTTTTTACCCTTGCTTTTATTTAGGCCGCCTCTATCAGGTCGAGTATGCGATGGAGGCCATCGGACATGCAGGCACCTGCCTAGGGATCCTAGCGAACAACGGGGTTTTGCTGGCCGCGGAACGGCGCAACATCCACAAACTTCTGGATGAAGTCTTTTTCTCAGAGAAGATCTACAAGCTCAATGAGTAAGTCTGGGATCTCGCAGTCGCTGTTTAAATGCGTGTGGCAAAACCTAATTAATGGTGTTGCTTCAGCCACAGTCGCAGAATTTCTTGAACCTCGCTGAGAATTAAGCATTTTGAATGCAGATTGTTTTTTTCTGCCCTTGTTCAGATTTTGCTGTGTGTCATTCTCTTAATTTCAGACGTAATGTCACAGTATAAGAGCCAGTTTGGTGTGGACTCTAATCTGGGAGAACCGGGTTTGATTCCCCACTCCTCCACATGCAGCTGCTGGCGCGACCTTGGGTCAGTTGCACATTTTCTTAGCTGTTCTCTCATGAGCAGTCCTCAGAGGAGCTCTCTCAGTCCCACCTACCTCACAGGGTGTCTGTTGTGGGGAGGGGAAGGGAAAGGAGATTGTAAGCCG